AAGCATTCAATTAGACAAACATGGCAATCTTAGTCCAAAGATTTTGTTGGGGCCCAAAGGGCCTCATAATATGCAAAATACAACTCACCTAATTCATTCAATACATACCTCTCTACACTCTTCAATGTGCCCTTATCTTCATTTCCATGGTCCCAAATGTTGTGGGTATCTAAGGCAGGTAAAATCGGATATTTGATTTGATCAAATTTTAATAGAATGGGTATGAATTATGAATATGTGGGAGTGTTTGGTAAATAGTTGCTAGCTGATTGTGTTAGTGATATGATTAGGTGATAGTATTAACTTTAGTATATAAATATAAACCTTTAGAAAAATGATTATTCGATGTTCTAAAAATGAAAGCTTAGTATACTAAAAATAAATTTATAAAGTGGAGAGTAGTCCATAGTATAATGATTGACATAAATGTAGATAGTGTAAGGAACAACATTACAAAGTTACAAGAAGTTTAACACAAATAGGTTGAATTGAGCGTTAATTTTGTTGGCTATATTTTTTGTAAATAGATAATAAAAAAAACTTAAATTTTTAGATAAATAGATTTATCATTCTTTTGATTAATTTGAGAGAAATACGGGTTAAATATAGTAATCAAATAAAATTCAAGTATAAAATAAAGGATTTTAAATAACTCTAATCTTTAGCTAAGCACCTTGTGTTCAGATAGTACCTCTGTGGCTCCCTTTGAGAAAAGATCACAGGATAGAATCCCGGTGGTGGGGTTTTAACTATTTGGACTGCATTAGATTGAAAAAGTATAGAACAGATACTACCTTGAAAAATATTCACCGGCCAAGCATTCTTTGGCTATGAAATTGGTGTGCTATTAACCTTGCTACCTTGTAATTTTAGCCTTGAATTGTAAATTGAAATTAAAGACTGCTAATTCCATGTTTTTTTTTTGGGTGAAAAAAGACTGCTAATTCCATGTTTATTGTGTAACTAATAATGTCCATTTTGAACAACGTAACTGAATATTGATCATCTCAATTTGTAAATTATTATTTACGCTACTTTTCAATTATGGCTCCACTACCATGGGCAAGTGGTGAAATTATATCCCCCTGATGCGTACAACCACAATGGAGTGGCTGCCTCGGTGGACCCTCTCACTAGAGTTGACGCTGCGCCAATGCCTTGCATGCAATCTTCCTCGGCTGAAGCTGCGTCCTCGTCCTACCAACCCACAACTTCGTCAACAGCCACGGCTCGAACAATTCGCACACGGAGGAAGCGGTCACCAACTCGGACGCATGGCATGCACCTACAGACAACCACGAACCGGCAAAGATGTCCTCCACGTGCCTTGATAGCCTCGGTGGATGACAATGAACCGACGTGTCACTCCCAAGCCGTTAAATCACCACAATGGCGTAATGCTATGGATGCAGAATTCAATGCATTGCTGCAGAACCATACATGGAATTTAGTCCCTTTTAATAATGCAATGAATGTAATAGGTTGTAAATGGGTCTATCGTATGTAAAGCTCGCCTGGTTGCCAAAGGGTCCAACCAGGTACCAGGCATTGACTATTCCGAGACATATAGCTCGGTTGTCAAACCGGCTACAATTCGGCTATTACTAGCCTTTGCTGTCTGGCACAAGTGGACGATGAAGCAACTCGACGTCCATAATGCGTTCTTAAACGGACACATTACCGAGGACATTTACATGCGGCAGCCCCCTGGCTATGCCAATCAAAGCTACCCTCACCATGTCTGCAAACTTCAGAGGTCACTATATGGCCTCAAGCAGGCGCCACGAGCTTGGTTCACAAGGCTGCACGATTTTTTGATCAAGATTGGCCTCCGTCCGTCCAAACCCGATGTATCTTTATTCATTTATGTTTCTGACACCGTCCGCATCTACATTCTAGTGTATGTGGACGATATTTTGTTGCTAGGCAATGATGCTACACAGGTGGAGTCCATGCTCAGACAACTTGCCTCGACATTCAAGATACGAGATCTAGGCCAGCCTAGATTCTTCCTCGGTGTTGAAGCCATATACACCGACAATGGCATACTCTTATCTCAGCGGCGTTATATGACTGAGCTACTCCGCAAAGCTGGGATGGATTCCTGCAAGCCCCTCGCTACACCAATGGCTACGGCTGTGTCGAATAACCGTGATGAGATGTCCCCCGTGGATGACCCCACTGTCTATCGCCAACTGGTTGGGTCTCTCATGTACATGCTGCTTACCCGACCAGATTTATCCTTCTCTGTCAACCGATTATGCCAGTTCATGCATGCCCCAACACAAGCAAATTGGGTTGCCCTTAAGCGCCTACTACGATATGTACAGGGTTCTATAGGTCTGGGCCTTCGTCTCACAGGTACGAGCACCCCAGTGATTCATGCCTTCTCCGACTCGGATTGGGCTGGCTGCTCGCTTGATAAAAAGTCCACTGCCGGTTATGCTGTGTTTCTAGGTCTCAACTTGGTGTCCTGGTGTTCTAGAAAACAACGGACAGTCGCTCGCTCCTCCACCGAAGCTGAGTATAAGGCCCTCGCAGATGTCTCCGCGGAGGTTGTCTGGGTTCAGTCGCTACTCTGTGATCTGGCCTTAGATTGTACCACCACTCCGGTTTTATGGTGCGACAACCTAGGCGCGACGTATTTGTGTTCAAACCCAGTCTTTCATGCGCGAACGAAACATGTCGAAGTAGACTATCATTTCGTCCGTGACCAGGTGACATCCGGTGTTTTGAAGGTGAATTTCGTGTCCACTCACGATCAACTAGCGGATATCTTCACCAAATCTCTTCCTGCCACACGGTTTCATGACCTCCGTTTCAAGCTTGGCATGGTACCTTGCCCGTCGTCCGCTTGAGGGGGTGTATTAGACAGTTAGAGTCTTAGGTGAAGATTTCCTATTCTTTAGCATGTTTCCTACTATTATGGCTTTCCTCTTGTATATAAGGTTGTAGTGCGTAGCTCTCTGTAATTCAATAAATCATCAAATCAATTCCTCAATCGATTGAGATATTAAATAGAATAATATCAATGTTTTATTAATTTTTTTTAATACTACTAACTCTATTACAATGTAGTATCAGTTTATACATACTTTCCCAACCTATTAATTAATTAGTCAAATATGTTTGCGTGTTTATACTACTCAAACATGCAAGCTTGTAGAAACGTATGAAAATATTTTATTTTTGAAGATGACATTATGGGGTTATTGTTAGGATGGTACATAAGAGAGCTAAATTATTCATGAGTTAGTTAGACTTGATTTGATTGATGTTTGAATTTGACTCAATTTGATCAAGTTCTAGCTCAAGCTCAAGTAGTTCGAGTTACGAGTTAAACCAGATTCAAACTTCTTAATACTCAATTTGATCAAGCTCTAGCTTATGTGTCTAATTGAATATTTTATTTTAAAATGTTTTATATATAATATAAATATAATATTATAAATTTAGCTAATATATTTATATTTATATAGTATATAATGACCATATTCGAGATGTACTATTAAGTTTTATTATGATATTTGGTTTAAAAATATATACTACTATAATTTGTTGTAACATTTGAACTAACCCAATCAAGCCAGGCTCAAATAGCTTGAGTTTGAGTCCATTACTTTAACTCAAAAAATCAAAGTCTGGTCAAGCTTGAGTTGCATTCTTTTAAATCAAGTTAAAGTTTCAAACTTTGACTATTCATACTCAACTTGATTTGATTAAACCTCTAGTCATATTTTTTTGACCAGCGGACAACGTACCGACCAACAATACATACATACACACACACACACACACACACACACATATATATATATATATATATATATATATATATATATATATATAGAATCGCACTCAGGTGCGAATGCTTCGTCCAGGCGCGAAATAGGAATGAATTCTGTTCGTCCACATGTCCAGATCTAATGGATGAGAAACACTGATTTTTTTTAAAAACGCGGTGGCATTTTCGTAAATAATTGAACATCGAAGTGCAAGTAAAATGTATTACAAGTGCATGTAAAATGTATTATAGGTGCAAGTAAAAATTTACATTGAGCATCAATACTTAGTTGCACCTATAGTTCTAAGTAGTTGCACACATAGTTATAAGTAGTTGCACCTAGGTGTATGAATGTTTGCGAGTGATTTTCAGGGGTATTACTACCCGCTGAACTCAGATCAATGAATGTTAACAAGGCAAAATTACATGCACTTATAAGTGAAAGTAGGTGCACCTATAGTTATAAGTAGTTGCACCTATAGTTAAATAGTTGCACATATAGTTATAAGCACACCCAGGTGCATGAATGTTTGCGGAAAGTGAATGCTAACAAGGCAAAATTACATGCACTTATAGGTGAAAGAAGGTGCACCTATAGTTATAAGTAGTTGCACCTGTAGTTATAAATAGTTGCACATATAGTTATAAGCACACCCATGTGCATGAATGTTTGCGGAAAGTGAATGCTAACAAGGCAAAATTACATGCACTTATAGGTGAAAGTAAGTGCACTTGTAAGCGATTTTACTTGCACTTCGATGTTCAATTATTTACGAAAATGCCACCGCGTTTTTTTTTAAAGTTATTAGATCTGGACACGTGTCGCGCGCTGATTCGTTCGCATTTCCTCCTGAGCACTTATTCGCACCTGAGTGCATCCCTCTCTCTATATATATATATATATATATATATATATATATATATATATATATATATATATATATATATATATATATATATATATATATATATATATATATGCAGAGTATAAAACTTTTACGGCATAAAGTCTATATTTTATGCCATACAAACTCAATCATTGTATTGAAGCAGGCAAACCCTACTAAAAAAGTGTAAAACCCATCAACATAACGTGTATCACACTTGCATGCCTTTAATTTTATTTATTATTTATTATTTATTTTTCTAGTTTTTTAAAACTATATTATATTGGAAGAATATTACAGGTAGATTAAACGCAATATAGAAAGTAGAATAAAATGAGAGAATATTACTACCTTTATTAAACTGATATTTGTGGGGAGAATTATATATACTCCGATCCGTATAGTATTTACAAAGTGTACTTAGCTCCCCTTGACTGATTAATTATATTCTAATCATCGAGCAATTAATAATAATAATATATAATGTACTATTCATTAAAGTGACATTATTTTATGCACAAAATCTTCCTATAATCCTTAAAACACTGCAGCATTTCAGATGGCGCTGTCGCAGCTTCTATTCGTTCGATCTATTTGGAAGTTTATGAATGTTCTCTTCTGATCTGCAAATTGATTGACCACTACTATTATGACTTTAATTTAATTATTTTTTTTCCTTAGCTTAGTTGTGTATTGGAGCCTTTCTCCTCGCCGGAGAGTAATCCATCCCAGCTAGGTCGAACACATTCGGATAATGCTCGTTGGACGTTTCCCGGTGGCCGGTTTCCGGCGAAGATTTGACTGAAAACTTTTCTTTCTTCACGCCTACACTTTCACTACTAGATTTAGTTCCTTCATTCTTGAGGTTCTGTGATAAACAATATAATTCATATATATAAGTACATAAGAAATGGGAAGTAATTAATATAATATTTCTCTTTTTTAGAGAAATTTTATAATACTATATTTACATGTATTAAATTGTGTTTAGCTTCTTTTTATTAATGTTTTTTTTTTTTTTTTTTTTTTTTTTGGGTTTAATAGTGTATTTATGGAAGACCAACCTTTGAAGTGGTGGTGGTACTATAAGTAGAAGAGGTTGTTTTGTCAATAAGTTTCCTATTTCTTCCTGCAATTCAAATAAAAGAAGATTATATTATTGAAGTCTCAAAGATTTTCTTCAATCATTTAATTTGTACTCCAAGTAATTAAACACTCAAACTGTTCTAGGAGCTGAGCTACAAAACTACTTTTTTGTGATATTACATGAACATGAATGCCTAAGGAATGGAAACTTAGAATTTTTTTAGCCAGCTATCTAGCTAAGCTACAAACAAATTAGTAAAGGGAAAGGTGTATTTGAAGCTAAGCTAAGCTAGCTCGCTAGGATCCAAGCAAAAATGAAGCTAGATTGATGTATTTCTAGTGGTTAATGTCATATGGAAGAGTAGTAGCTAATAAGGATTTTAATGGTGTCTAGCTTTGTGACGCCTAGGACCATAGTAATCTTCATGGATACTAGGTAACCAATGGTGAGAAACCTTGGTTGCCCTAGACATCTTTCTCTTCATCATGGTACCTGCAGATGCAGATGATGAGGAACATTGCCCATCTTTGCATGCATCAATCTTCTTCTCTCCACTTCTTCTTATGCTACCATTTTCCTGCACCAAGCAAAAACAACATTAGTCCGAGTTATAACCAAAACACTGCCCCAGGGCATAGCTCAGTGGTCTAAAGGTTGAGTGTACGTGCAGGTGTAGTAGCCTAGTAGATACTCGGGATGTGAAGGGTCTCAACTTTGAAGTAAAAAGAAAGCGCTTAGACCCTGTCTTACTGAGACACCCTCCTCTCACAATCCCCAAGGCAGGGGGTGAAGGGCGATTAGGTTTAGGGTTTAAACCTATAGATCAGATGTACCAAAAAACTATGAAATTTTTAACATGTGCTTACATTGGGTTTGTGATTCCTAGCTGGGAGGTCTCCTCCTTTTCTCAAATGTCTGCCTTGAACTTCATAAAAGAGGGTTGACAAGAGTAGAAGAGAAATGAACAAGACTGGCCTCATGAGGATGAAAACTTAATGATGAAATAGTAAAGAAGAAAGGTGAGATCTTGAAGCTAGATACAAGTATATATGCCTAGCAGATAGCTATTTTCTCTTTGTTCTTGAAGAAAGGTGAGATCTTTAAGAACTTTGAGGCTTCAATGAACAACTGAGCTGAAGGTTAATTGAATGAAAAGTGATATAAGATAGATGTGGAGTCTGATCTGTGGAGTTGTATATATATATATATATGTGTGTGTGTGTGTGGGGGGGGGGGGGGGAGATATATGGTGGGCAAGGAGACCACAGTTTCCAACATAACATAATGGAACTGTTTTAGGATTTGAATAAAAATTATGAAGTTGTTTTTAATTGTTATAATTGAATTGTTGGAGCAGGAAATGCATAGGAGGGTCTACATAAAGGTTGACATGTTTTGGAAGTCATTGGTATGGGGGGACAAAACTGTCCTCATGAATAAGGGGATCCATTTTCTTGAAGTTGAGATCGCAGAGCTCAATTACGTACAACAATATATATTAATTATTATCCCATTAGCTAGCAAGCTAGAGACAAACTCTTTGGAATGGGAAGAAAGGGCCAAAAAAGGTGTCCCCTAATTAATTTCTTGAATCATTTATTGGATATTTAAATTATTGTGAGTTCCAGTTCATAATCATATGAAATAATACATATGTAAATATTCACTATTTCACTGCATTTGTTATAATTAAATTCCATGTATTAAAATTAAAAGTTACATTATTTAAGGAAATATTTAATACTTGATAGAAAAAAATATTTTTTAATTTCTCAATTATTTGTGATTCATCGTTTTAATTAGTCCCCCACAATTAAAAAAATTTGTAAAATATACTCTTAGTTTTGCAATATTGCAGCAACTTTGGTCCTCCGATGTATCGAAACATAAAGTGATTTTAATAAGTTTTAAATTATATTGCTCAAAAACTCATAATCTTTTACCACCAGAAAGTAGTTTCTAAACAAAAATGGTCTTTATGACTACTTTTGTCTTTGGGATCAAGAAAATTCATTGATACTATTACCAATCATTTTTTTCAATGGTTAGAAATTTTGACTGGTTTGGAAGTCGGCCAAGTTTTCCTAATTTTAATTAAGCTATTGGTGGTGGAAGAAATTTAAAAATTAAATAAAAAATAAAAAAACAACCATGGGAAAAAGTTTCTATGAGAAACCTAGTTAGCTTGCAAAATTCACAACTTTGTTCTCTTTCTGCAATATGGGAAGTAAAAATTTTAAAGATATTCAAATTTCAATTTGATCACCAAAACTTTTGACCACTTTAGACGGTGATCGATAGAAAAATTGAAAAAAAATTAAACAATTTCTGCTTAGTTAATTTTTGGTTGGTCAAGAAAGCTGGTAAGAAATTGCGATTTTTTCAGCTTTAAAATTGGTACAATGTGTTATTATCAAATTAACATACAAATGCATAGAAATTAAAATTAGTATAGCCGCATTGCAGTTAACAACAATACATTACTATACTCTCAAATAAACAAAAACTAATTAAACCTAAGATAATCCCACTCATGCTTAAACTTAAACTAATTAAATATTTTTGAGTACAACAATATTTATAAAATTTAAACTATATACTTAACACTTATAAATAATATCTCTCGCAACATGTATAATTATATGAGTCTACATTTGCTATATTACTCCAAATTGTTGATAGCTAGCTAGGGTATGGACTGCCAGGTGGGGCTGTCTTTCCATGGTTGGCTATGAAGCATTGTTTTTCAATCAAACATTAGCCAGACAGTATAATACATGCTATCATAAAAATGGTAAAAATACAGGTTTTGAATTATTGTCTGGAAGATAATGTGCAAAGACTAGCTAAGAGACATTGATTGATTGAAGGGTCTGATGACATTCTTTTGCTTGAAGCATTGATTTCCTTAATTTCTCCATGATTGATCATATGAGTTGGGTTTCAGTATTGTTATGTCTACCCAATTAAGATGACAAAACTGTGTATCTATGGGAGACTAGCTCTGAGCCTCTGACAAAACCACCAGGGGTTGCTGCCCTGCTAGTTGCTAGCTAGTCGGAGAAAGTTTAATAATCCATTGTTTTTAGCATATAAATTAAAGTTGTTTGCAAGTGATTAATCGTTTACCACTTACGCCAAAAGCTATAGCTAGTAACGAGCGAAGATATAACTTTATTTTCTTATACACCATCATCACATTTTCGAGATTGGACTTGGTCTTTTAAGCCCTTTACCAGCCTCTACTTAACAATTTCTCAGTCACCGAGTACTAGATTTAGCTTTTACTGGCATTCGCTCAACAAGTACGTTGATAACTATTTTAATTTGAGTGTTAATAGATTGATAAAATACAAATAAACTAATAATAGTTTGGGTGGAACTAACAAATTAAATGAATTTTGTAGAAATTAAAGAGGTTGGGTTCATGAATGTGAAAAAAGGATGTTGCTACTATATATATACATTTGGAAATGCATATTGTTTGTGTGGTTGTGGTGATGATAAAGATTTGTGAAGTTAATAATGTCTGAGGTTTCAAGCATGTGTTTAAAATTGTGTGTCAAGTTGATGATTATTGTGCGTACTAATAGAGACAAACTAATTATAGTATGTGTTGGTAAAACAATTAAGTTTGTAGAATTTAAAGAAGATTTTCGAAGGTGAAAAGTGAATGCTAGTGCACTTAGAAACTCCTTGAGGCCATGGCCGCCATTGTCACCTTCCTCTAGGAGCGATGAAAGAGACCATAACACTTCGTCTATTTAGATTAAACTTCAGTCTGAAGCCTAAATCTTAAAAGTCATGATTGTCTTGTTTACTTACAGACAACATTGATTGTCCGTCATTAGAAACAACCATAGGTTGTTGAATGATAGTCAATGATTTATTTTTAAATTTTTTTTTTTTAAAATTTGGACACCTATGATCGACATTTTTTTACTTATACTTACGTGGCGAATTAAATATTAACATTTTTGCCAAGTAAGCTGCCACATAGGCGTTTACCTGAAGTAATCTGATGGTTAACCTGTTAATGGGGTAAATTGAGCTAAAATCGTAAGTTTATGTATCTAATTGCACTTTTTAAAAGTTCAAGAACCTAATTGACTTTTCGTGAAATGTTCAGAGGCCTATTTGACTATTTTCCCTATATTTTTTTAAAATCTTTGAATTGATCATTTATTGAGGTAGGTATTGAAATTAATTGAGATACTATACTAGAATGTGAACATAAAAGGATGGACGAAAGTAAGGCAAACCCCACGTGTCGTGGGGAACAAGAGAGTTAATGTGACGGTGACGGACGTTGGCCAACTGCCACGGAGATGGTTGGGCAGCATTGTCGTTTGTCAGTTTCCGGTTGACGTGTACACGGCAAGCCCACGTGGTTGTCCACATCTGGAGCCTACTTCAACTCCACGTGGCAAATAATTTCCACGTCAATACTGACGGGTCACGGCGACGGTTTCTGCTTTTGGTGGCAGAAGAACATGCGGCCGCAGACCTTGTCTCTTGTGACAACAATGCCTTTTACACTTAATAATTTTTGTACAATTAAATTGTTTTTATGATACCTTCGATTAGTTTCTTATTTTTTGAAGAAATAATCTATTCAGTAGCTAGAATTGAGCAGTTTGTTTGCCCACAACATAACCTTTTCTCCATTCTTCGCCTGTTCACATATTTTTCTTATAATTTTTACATTTAATTTATTATTTTCAATTTGACGATATTACTAATTTACTATAATATCAAATTTTTTAGTATTACTGACACTATTACAATGTAGTACATGTTCATAACTACTTTGCATCAAATTTGGACTTGCATGAGTTCATTGTTATTGTTTTTGTTTTTGTTTTTTTTTTTTTTTTAATTTTTATTTTATTTTCTTGGGATCGGATACAATTTTTTTTTGTTTGAAACGATGAAAAATATTTATTTATTTTGTCATAATAATCTCTTTAAGATTGAGCTAATTAGATATAATACAATAAAGTTCAAAATTATGACAAATATCACAATCTTATAAGATAATCAAAATAAATTATTAAGCTCAAATTTACAATCATTAGGGATATAAATATATAATAATATCATCTATTACTTTTACAATCATATCATTGGGAAACAATAATATCATCTATCATTTTAAAGTTAAGTATTATTGCATTAATAATTTTTTTTTCTTCACAATATATGATTAAGTATAATAATATATTTAAAAATATTTATAATTAATTAATAATGTTAGGAATAATTTGTAATAGATTTGATGATTCCAAATATACTACAAAATTAGGGCCCAACTCTTCTAGTATTCTGTTTCTAGACTGAGGAATATTTTGAGTTGTCCACAATCAAAAAGTCTTCAATGAGGTGTATTGTACTACCGGAAAAATGTATAACCAAATAGTCAAAACTATATGAAAAGTAAAGTACTTGGAAGGTGCATGGATACTTATATATATAGTTAAGTATTGAAGAGTCAAAGATTTAAAGAGCCGAAAGACGAAATAGTTTAAGACATGTATGTTTAAGTCATGGAGAGTTCAAGATCAACCGATAAGTTGATATGGTCGCATAGTCAAAGGTTGACAAATAGTCAAACCCACAGTGCAATTGTCCAAAGAGTGCAAGAGCCGAATAGTAGTCTCAAAGTCATCAAGGTCGGGTCGCACTGGCACAATGCAAGATGACGAAGACTTTGCAAACTCAATTCAAAAGGTGACTTTTTACCATCCGGACAGTCGAGTGACAAACCGCACAATCATGAATGTTAGTGAAGTGATTTGTGACATTCCAAGGAGTCATATAGTACTAAGAGAATGTTACCAAAGTTTCACAATGCCTAAGTAAAATTATCAAGGCGGTCGAATATACTACTTTTAGCTAAGGCAAAAAGTAAAAAGCCACAACTTAATGAAAATAAGTCTGACAAGCAGCTGGAATCTCAGAAAAGGACAACCAAAAGTGAATGTACACTGGTCATTACATATTTAACAAAGACTATCCATTTGAATTTTGTTTACCTAGCCTCCAACGGAAAAATTCAAAAGAGTCTATAAACACCTTAATTCAAATCAAACAAGGTGCTAGTCGTTTTTCAAATTCTAAACATACAAATGCAAACAAATTCAAGTGTTATCTAGTTGACCAGTGAGAGAAAAAAATGCTTAAGCATACAGACTATAATT